ATGATATATTTTTTTTCTTCAAAGTTCGAGTATTCATTACATCTTCCAAGTGCAAAAGTTTCCTGATGGCCATGGTAGTATGAAATAACACACGTCGTCTATATCCCCTATGTTTCGGTGGTACTTCTTCTTCTTCTTCGAGATTATATAATTCTTCTTCAAAAGAGAGAAAAACCAAGTAGTTAAATTTGATGCCATACTCGACCTTCCACTCGAATACACATCCTTCAGGACTGTTGCGGCAGAAACAGAGAGAGGGAACCTTTATATGTAGAGATTTTATTGTATTGAATCTCCTAACGAACCCACCAACGGCCGTCATGTCATCAATATCCTGAATTTCAAGTGTGGCCGAATTGATATGGCAAAGGAGGGAAGCGAATCGCTTGGAGACGGTGAGACAAAGGATGAGTGACTTGCCGTCCACCACTTTGCTGAGGATGCAATCTAGGACATGGTCTGGAAGACGATCGAAAAGGTCTTTTTCTACTTTTTTTTTGCGATTTGCCATTCTCTCTCTTTTGAAAGCTAGGATACAGTCTGGAACACGTTTTTTTACTTTGTTCTTGCGGTTTTTTTTTTTTTTCTTCCTGAATTTGTTCTTGCGATTTGCCATTGTCGCTATATATTTCTTCAGAGAATTCTTGCACTAAATCATAGAGGAACAGACCAAATTAAGAATGGGCATGGGTTAGCATACTTCATGAACTCTCTGTCTTATAGAGAAACTGTGGACTTATAAGGAAGTCCTAAATCCTAATAATAGTAGGAAAAGAAGATGAGATTGAGTTGTTGCCTAATTGGGTTAAAGGCTGTTGTTGTCCTGCTTTCTTAGGTTAAGCGAGCTGTGAAGGTTACTGAACAACTTGTGTGCCAAAGAAGCAATGCAACAAGTTCGTTGCAGATATATATGTGTGTGTGTGTATATACATATTTCTTACAATAATCGGAACGCTTGACTAATTTACGGTACTCATGCAAAGCAACCCTCTACATTAATCGCATAAAACTCATATTATGTTTACTGTCGTGGCAGTTAAGAAATTGATCGCACTCAACAAACAGAGACTTAATGATTTATGACGCACCAAGTTTCAGGACTTCACCATTAGAAGTTTTTAGGTCAAAATAATTCTAAGAGTTTTAGAAACTAGAGTGAGAAAGTATAGTTAGCCAGTTAATGCCATATTTCGTCATGGAAGTCCTAATAATAGTAGTAAAAAAATTGCAAATTTGTTAAATCGATTCGTGATGTACAAAGGTTATGTGAATACATATGCTAAAGGCTGTTGAATGGACTCCAGAGTTTGATTTTAGAATGGGTTTTAATTTGTTAGTAATATAGAAATGCACTTGTACAAAAAGTAATTAGAAAAACATAAGAGTTAGGTCTATAATTAGAAGGGGATGACAGGCTAGGGACCTTTGGAATAAGAGCCAAATAAGGAGCATTATCCCGTTTGAGAATTTTACTACTTTGAAAGAATTATTTAATAGCTTGGTTTGTAACTATTGAAGTAATTTTATGTTCTCAGAAAACTGAAATTAAAAAATTATGTAAAAAAAAAAAAACACTTTTCTTTTGGAATAGTTTTTTATTTTTTAAGAACTGTTTCAGAATTACAAACTAAACATGTATTTTTGGTATTTAGTTGCAACTTAAAAACCAAAAATATTTTACTTATAAAATAATTTCCTTCAAAACACCAAAAATGACTTGTGTTGCCAACTTACCTAAGTCGTTATCTGAGAAATTTTTTTATTCCTTCAATGACCGTTTCTCCAACTCCTCGTTATTTTAATTTTAATTTTAATTTTTACTCCGTGCTTGCTAAAATAGCGCCATTTTTAGTTATTTTATAAAATTATTTATTTTTATATATTTTATAAAATGGCTCTGTAAGGGTAATTTAGTTAATTTAGGGTTTAAATTTGTCAGAGGGACTTATTTGCACCAGATTAAAACTTTAGAGGTATTTTTTGCACGAGAGAGGCATCTTCCAATAGTGTCCTTTTCGGTCATTTTACAACATTATTTATTTTTATATATTTTATAGAATGGTTCAGTAAGGGTAATTTAGTCAATTTTGGATTTACCTATTTGTACCAGATTGAAACTTTAGAAGTGTTTTTTGCATGTAAGGGGTGTGATATGCACCGTAAGCATACTTTAGGGGTGTTTTCTGCACTTGACCCTTTAATGGCATAACAACCGCTTTCAGAGAGGACCAAATTCAAGTGTGCGCTATCAATGAGGTGATGAGAGACCAACGATGGATACTTCGTGGTCGATGACGATGACCAGAAATTCTGACGATGACAAAAGAGAAGAGAAGATTCCGGCGATGACTTTCTTTGTTCACTGTCATTTGGTCGACGATGGTGATCAATGGTGATTTTAGGCTTCAGCGGCGACTATTGATGGTTTTAGATACATATACAAGTTTATTTCTTGAGTTTGTGAATGGCTCTGAAACTAATTTCATCACTTGATTGAGTCTTTGAGGTCTAAACCGAGAATGGTTCCATTGGACACATCGAATCGGCTGGGGCATTTGGATGCATCGAATTGATACCACTCTCATCGGAGAGGAGCTTGTCGTAGTAGGCATCGACGTGAACATCGCTGTTGAAGACAAAGACGAGGCTCATCTATGATGATTTTTCTCACACTTGGGGCGGAGGCTGTGGTGGGGTTGGGTTCGCCATGGCTATTTTTATTTTTTTTTCCAGTGGTTGTTGCGGTGATTGTGGTGGTCTTTGAGTTGTTTCTTTCTTTTGCTTTATTGCGGCGGCAGTTGTGGTGTGGTTTTTTTTTTTAATTGTGGTGATGGTAGGGGTGTCTAACTGTGTGGTCTTTTTTTTTTTTTGTGGTGATGGTAGTGGTGTCTAACTATTGTTGTAGTAGTCAAGTTGTTAAAATTGGAATTCTACTTAGAATCGTTTTAGATTTCGTAGAATCGGATAGTAAATCGTAAGATACTACCAAGCTAATAAAAATACAACTTAAATTAACTTTCTCAACAAAAATTATCTTTAAAATAAATAAAAAATGAGCCAAAAATACAAATATATATATAAAAGAATAAGTTCATATAAAATTATCAACAAATTCTTTTCAAATTTAATTAATTTATTTAGTTTTTGGAATGTAAGACAAATTTTATATAAATGTAAATATTACATTGGGCTTCAAAAACTTGAAGTTTGCAAACCCCATTTAGCCTAGCTGTACAATAGAACACAAGAAAAGTATAAGGCCCTAGATAAAACATTTTTAGGCAAGTCTGGCCAGTTCAACTTGCCCATCTGAAGAGAGCAAAATTCCCCAGCCAAAGCGGCACACGAGGAGAGCAAAATTCCCGACGAACCTTCCCTGTTGCAATACCCAGCGGCAGCTCCTCTCGTCTTTTTCAGGTAAGCTCTCTTAGCCTCTTGTTCCCTCTCTCCTCCTCTTCTACTTTTTCTTCCCCAAAACCCTCTAATGATGATTGGTCGGAACCATTTAAAAATTTCTCAATAATCAATACATAGAGATACTACAATTCATTGGACTGATGTGGCTAATAAAGTAACCGGCCCAACCAAACATTATGATTCTGACTATTATTATTATTATTATTATTATTTTTGTGATGTGGCCTGAGATTCAACTTTAAACTTTAAAAGTTGTAGGGCGAGGGCTAAACAAAGTTAAAACAAATTTTTTTAAGACATTGACTTGCCACATGGTTCGCGCCTTGTGACGAGCCTTTGAATAACAATTGTGCGGGACTCATTGTGTGGCATGGCCCACACCAATGACATTCATATCTAGACTCGCTACACATGCAAGATATCTGATGATTGCTCTTATAGAGTGTAAGAAAACCAGAGGACAAACCGAGCAGACCATACTTGGGACGAGGAAAAGCTGAGGAAGTAGAACTAGTCACATGATAAGACTTAAGAGTGTCATGTGGATAAAATGACGGTAAGGATGGCAATATGTGATGGTGAGGATGCAATTGTGACAACACATGAGAGGCAAAAGTAATTAAGATTTTAAAATAATAAAATTAGAATTTATCATAAAATTGGAAGAAAAAAAAAAAAAAAAAAATTAGAAATCACTTTTCTTGGGTTAAGGCACACTCATTCCCTCACTGTGAGGTTGATGAACATTGATATGCTAATTGAGTTTTCAATAGAGAAAAGACAACACCCAATTTCATAAATAACGAGTCTTTCAGAATTGTGGGGCATGAGTAGAGAGTGTGTGTATATATATATATATATATATTATGGAGTAACAAAAATTTTATCTAGTCCATCTTCCTAAACAATTAAACAATTAAATACTGAGTAAATAAATGCATTAGAATAACCAACTTCGAAAATTCGCCAAACATCAATAATTAAACAATACATCAATACTGGGTAAAGAAATCCATTGGAATAACCAGAAGAAAATTCGCCAAACATTAAACCCCCAACATTGCAACAAACCGGATAGATCCAAAAAAACACAAAAACAGAATTGCTAAAATCAGAACCACATACCGCGAGACCAATCCAGGAACTCTCCCCGACTCGTACTTTTGTTCTTCAAAATCAATGCCATTGCTTCTCTATAAACCTTATCTTCTTCGTCCTGAAAAAAAATATCATCACCATTGTAGTCATCATCGCTTTTGCAGTCATCATCAGTATTCTGGTTTTTGCAGTCATCATCCCTCTCTCTTCGGCAGCGTCTGATCCTCCCAAGAGTGGCGACTTTCATCCCATACCCGGATGAAGGTAAACTTAATTGAGGCACGGACCACAGCTTCATATGCACGGGTACCAGTTCGGTTTCATATAGCAAATCCTCTGTAATTTTCTTTTCCTTACTTATGTCTATAAAGCTTTGTCTGTGAAATATTATTTTCCCTTTTTCTTTCAAATCTGTAATAACTATGGTCCCAATCTTGGTACCACACGGATGATATTTTTTTCCCGAAAAGTTGGACGAGTATTCATTACATCTTCCAAGCGCCAAAGTGTCCTGATCCTCTATATCCACTTTGTATCGGTATTTCTTCTTCTTCTTCGAGATTATCTAATTCTTCTTCAAAAGAGAGAAAAACTAAGTAGTTAAATTTGTGGCCATAGTCGACCTTCCACTTGAATACACATTCTTCAGGACTGTTGCCGCAGAAACAGAGAGAGGGAACCTTTAGATGTAGAGATTTTATTGTATTGAATCTCCTAACGAACCCACCAACGGCCGTCATGTTATAAATATCATGGATTTCAAGTGTGGTCGAATTGATATGGGAAAGGAGGGAAGCGAATCGCTTGGAGACGGTGAGACAACGGACGAGTGACTTGCCGTCCACCACTTTGTTGAGGATGCAATCTAGGACATGGTCTGGAAGACGATCAAAATGGTCTTCTTCTACTTTGTTTTTGTGATTTGCCATTTTCTCTCTTTTGAAAGCTAGGATACGGTCTGGAATACGTTTTTTTACTTGGTTCTTGCGATTTGCCTTGCGATTTCCCATTGTTGCTATATTTCTTCAGAGAATTCTTGCACTAAATCATACAGGAACAGACAAAAGATTGGTATGGGACCATGGGTTAACATACTTCATGAACTCTCTGCTTATAGAGACTGTGGACTTATATGGAAGTCCTAAATCCTAATAATAGTACGAAAAGAAGAGTTTTCAATTTGAGAAAGAAAGTTTACATTTTGTAATGGTAGAAGCAGCCGTAAACCACCTTCGATGAAACCCAACTAATACTAGGTTCGGTCCTCTAAAGATCATCCAATTCTTCTCTATGAGTAATTCCTAATACCGTCATCAATGTTATTTTTATGAAATTCTTTGAGTTTATATTGAGTGTTCATGGATAGGAGTTTTAGGTTCAAGCTTTTGAGTTCTCTAATGACGCAGGTTGATGCCAAAATTTTTAAAAAATTTGACATAACCTCCCCTAAAAATGGTCCTTCAACAACATGTCCCAATACACAAAACACATAGTATAATCTAGCATCCCATTCATCCGTTCGTTATACCTCAACATAGTTCCTCTCATGGTGGAACATCCACACACCAATTAATCTAACTTATCATAATTACAGTCCCAAAATACATGGTTAAGATCTAAAGTCCCTGTCTTACAACGTTACATGATACAATTGCATGGAAATATATACCATAATTCCATTAGTTTCATTTACATCAAATAAAAGATAAATTCGTTCTTAAGTTACAAGGCCATGAATACTAACTTAGTTACATTGCCACAACTATGAATATACATAGAATGGTCAAAATACAAAATAGTAAACAAACTTCTAACAACTTTCAAGCTTGAGGTGGATTGTCGTCCACTGGTTCATTTCCAAGACCTGAAAAAATAATATAAATAGTAGGGTGAGCAAATATGCTCAGTAGGTGACGCTTAAGACGCACATCTTGAAGCCCCGTGAATCCAAACAGAGCATAAACTAATGGGGATAGGGATCATACAGCGTAGGGGAAGGATACAACATGGTTACCAATCTCAACACAAATGACAAGATGCAATGGAGATACAAATGCATGCCGATGTCGCTCCCCATTTTCAAATTCAAGATCATCACTTTCAAACTGTTAATACAGCCCGCCCTTTGGTGACCCCGCAGCGACACGAGAGGAGGATTGGTTAGTGTTCCTGACCCTTGGTAACCCCGCGGCGTCATTATGGGACCCAGCTAGCTCAACCACACTAGGGCGACTCCCTAGTCCCCTCTAGGCTATATTAACCTCCGGCCCGTTGGTAACCTCGCAGCGATCGAGTTTGCATAAAACCATTTCATCAAAAACACATCCCCAAAATTCCCCGTTTCCATTTCAAAACATTTTTCCATCATGCAACCCCATGATTCACATGTATAGCTCATGCCTTTAATGTTAAATCAATGAGGGATTATCATAAAACACACTAGAGCATGCTTTCCTACATCATTTATAGCATAAGAACAATACAATACGCATAAACTCATGGTACAACATGTTTCTCATATAACAACATTAAAACAAGTTTCCACATATTCACATAGGTACTAATCATGGCATTCAAAACAATAACTAACACAATTAAGCATGCTATATCACATATAAAGTAGAAAACTCACAAGGGTGCAAGAAAATTGTGAATTAGGAAGCCCCTACCTCAAGATTGTACAAAACTCTTGAAATAGGTCTTGAATTTCAAAATCCAAAGGGTGCACAAAAACTGAAATTGATGGTATGGATGCGTAGAGCTCGTCGTGGGCTTTGTTTTGCCTCAAACGGCACCTTAATCCGATAAAAGATGAGGGATTAATCAAAACTTGAATTTGTAAACTAAAAAAAAAAACAAAAAGTCAAGAGAGATACAGACAGAGACGGGAGAAGAGAGAATGAGATTACAGAGCTTTCAAAAACGTGGTCTTATGACCACTTAAACATTAGTGGGTCCCACCTATTTTTTTTTTTTTTTTTCCTTTCTCTTTTTCTTTTTCTTTTAAATTACAGACATTACATTTTCCCAACTTTAAAAAAGATTTCGTCCCCAAAATCAAGTCATACCTGAGAGAGAAAACAATTCTGGATACTTGGAGTGAGCTGTGATACCCCTCGGATCCAAGACACGGGTTGATCAGGCCCAGGCCCAAACCCGAGGGATATCAAACAATTAATATGTAATTGAACATAGAATACAAGATAAAATAAATAGTAATAATAATAATAAGCTGAAAGAATGCTAATTGAAAATCCCTAAAATAATATAATTATTGAAATCTGTTAAATCCAAACTCCATAGGTTTACAACTTGGGAATCCATCCATTGGACCCCTTATTAAAAGTTCTCAAACCGAAACTGGAAACTGAAATAACCGAAATAAAAACTAAAGCTAACATAAAGAAGATTCCTACATAGGCAGGGGAATGAATATCTGTATCTGCTCTTCACATCCAAACTCTAACCCTGGAACTGACGAACACCTGAAAAATGAAGAAGTGGGTCAGGCCCACATGCAAGTCCTGATCTACTATAATCCAAACAGTAATCCGATACGCAGATACATCCTAGAAAGACTCAACAATAACTAGAGTAGTCCATATATGTATAAGTACACACTATAAGACGCTCACTAGTCCAAAAAGGTCTGTCTCAGCCTGAATAGAGATACCATGCAAATCGCACATACTGTGGTCATGTGTATCTAGACCTACCAGGGAACAATACCTCTGTCCAGCTATCCATCCTAGGCAATATACGCGCCCTAACCATGGTCATGAGACTCAACTCATACCACGGCACTATACAATATATATGTAAAGTCCGTACTCCTCCTAATACAAAATACCATCCATCTGTGTAGTGGTCTAATATATGTATAACAAATTTATCCTGGAACTATAGTGGATCATTCAATTCACAATTGATATGACACATGTAGGTGATGGACATAATCTTTATGACTAATCCATACCTTATTCCAAATTAGGTAGAACTTAGTGTTTGAACTAGTCCATACCTAGTATGTCACCGTCCCATACCGGTACATACCATCCTCCAGTTAACATAGTTGACAAACCAATATAATTATTTATCAACTACTTCCGAGAATAAGCCTAAATATAGTTTATCATATAATCAATTCATGCATCCAAAATAAATCTTAGAATTCCAATTACAGTCCAATAAATTGACAAAGCAAGAGTATGCAATTTATTCCTCCAAATTCAACATAAATTGACGCAGTTTAATAAAACCTACTATCAATTGATTCCACAAATAAGTACTAATACAGTTTAACATGTGCATAACTAATAAATGCATTCAACATTCGATTTATAAATTATTTTCCAGTGCTTGATATAAATGAAACAAAGCTGCACATTTAACTCCTCCAAACAATCCCCAGATTGATATATATTACAACATCATGCATTCCTATTTAAGTATAAATATTTCAGATGAACAACTATACTCTTTACAGTGCCACAACATGATTAATAGTAACAAATCAACAAGTAAGAGTTGCTAAAAACTTCCATAGCAATTTAAGTTCATCTGCCAACCTTCCACATGCAAGCTTAATATTTAATCCTATGTTGTCTCATGCTTCAACACATTAATATTTTCTTGCTTCCTACTAGTTTTACATTTCTGAAATAGATATATACACCATTCACAGCAGCTGTAACATTTAAACCAATCCCTACTGTCCCAAAGCAACCCAGAAATCCAAAATACCAAGAAGAGATGAGGGAGCCGCCTCCATAAAACCTTGGAGCCGCCTCTCCCTTGGTGGAGCCGGCTCCACAACATGTTGAGCTGGCTCTAACCCTTGTAGAGCCGGCTCTTCTTCCCCCAAAGCCGGCTCCCTCTTTTGGTGAGCCGGCTCTCCTCCTTTGAGAGCCGTATTCTGATCATCTTCTTCGTCTCTGGCGAAGTCCAGAACCTCTGTTCAGTTTTTATAACTTAATTTAGGGTTCAATTGTCCAGGAATTAATTATAAGAATGTCTCCAATCTCATATACACAAAGGTTAAGCAAGATTAAAATTCATGCAAACAGATTCTTAAGCAAGAACAACTTCCAACACAAAAACCAGATTTATGCAACGATTTAAAAAAATTGATTCAATCATGCTTACAAGATTAATATTAACTTTAATTTAATTTGTTTTAATACTTGATTCATCCCTAGAGTCTAACTAGGCATGCACAGAACACGAACTAAAGGGAAAGAGAAGGACAGAACTTGCCTTTGAGTTTCAGACTTTGAAACTCTAAACCACCGTCTCTGAGGTTTTCCGACCACCTTCTAAATTGTCGTTCTACTCTTCTGCTACTCTTGGTTAATCCCAGAAGAAAACCCTTGTTCCCTTCTTCTTGAACTTCTCTGTAGATCACTCAAGTTTTCTCTGTTTCTCTGTCTCTCACTCTCTATATCTAGGTACGTGAACAGAGTTGTACATACTTCCCAAAACCCTAAACCCACATTATGATATATTTATAGGCCCAAAACAATAACCCTAATCCGTGTAAAAATTAAAGACTAAGTGTAACGACCCGCTCCACCACATGGTATGATATTGTCTGCTTTGGGCTTGAGCCCGCACGGTTTTGCTCTTGGGCTTCACCCCAAAAGGCCTCATACCAATTGGAGATGATGCACTTACATATAAGCACTTCACCTTTCTTCTACCCAGGCGATGTGGGACTTGTGCACCCGTAGCTCGCCAGTGTGGTAGCCTAACAGTGTCTCTTGCACCCGCCCACGACATACCCTTTGGTGATACCTTGTGGGCGGGTGTGTCGTGGGCGGGTGCGAGAGACACTGTCAGGCTACCACACTGGCGAGCTACGGGTGCACAAGTCCCACATCGCCTGGGTAGAGGAAAGGTGAAGTGCTTACATGTAAGTGCATCATCTCCAATTGGTATGTGGCCTTTTGGGGTGAAGCCCAAGAGCAAAACCGTGCGGGCTCAGGCCCAAAGCGGACAATATCATATCATG